TCCTATTTGAAACAGTCAACCTCCTTGACTGTGACCTCCTTGAACACCTTCAGATTAAAATTAGTTGTTTCCTTCATTGTTTCTTCTTATCTTCCGACATCAACTATCCCCCTATTACCACACATCACAACATTGCATCATCAGGACTTAAATATGTATCTGTGAGCACCATGACTACATGGACCATACTTAACCCAACCAACAGGCCAAGTCTAACCACCTAGTCCATACCCAGGTGCAATTACCATACTGGACAATAAGTGTCCAATTAACCCCACACCAGACTCTCTCAATACATCATTATCACTTCATAAAGAAAACAGATGCCATTAACGTGGGTGGACTAATTAACCAAGTGAACAAATAGAGAACTCAGAGGCAGACCAACCACTGGTAGAAACTTGACATATGAGATTGGTGGCAATGAGAAAAGATTGGAGCCAGCATACAGTTATTCATGTAAAAAGGAAGGAAATTAGGCCCATGTCATCCGCCATACACAAAAATTAATTCTTAATAGATTAAAGATCTCCATGTAAAAAACAGAACTTTCAAACATATAAAATGATAAGCGATTGCAATGCTAATCAGGGAAATAAAAATTAAGATTATGATAAGATAATCATTTTTAAACCACTAAATTGGAAAAAATTAAGAAACCTGATTATACTGTTGTCAAATATATGGATCACTAGGAACTCTGGTAGGTATATATCTTACAAACCATTTTACAGAAAAGTTTGGCAATATCTAATAAGTTATGTTATAGTTATATAGTTATATAGCGCGTTATATGCAGTTAAAAAAGTGAATGAACAGGTGCAGCCACTGTGGAAAACAGGACAATTCCTCCAAACATGGAGTTGCCATATGACCCAGCAATTCCACTTCTGGGTATATACCCAAAAGAAGTGAAAGAAAGAACTTGAACAAATATCTGTACACCCATGTTCATAGCATCCTTATTCACAAGAGCCGAAGGTGGAAGCAATCCAAGCATCCATCAATAGATGAATGGAGAAACAAAATGTTGGAGATGTATATATATATTACACATGATATACTCAATATTATTCAGCTTTAAAAAGAAAATTCTGCTACCTGCTACAACATGGGTGAACTTCGAAAACATTAAGCTAGATAAACTAAGCCAGTCACAAAAGGACAAATATTGTAGGACGCCACTTAGATGAGGTGACTAGAATAGCCAAATTCATGGAGACAGAAAGTAAGAATAGAAGTTGTCAGGGGCCAAGGGGAAAGGTAACTGGGTAGTTAGTGTCTAATGGGTACAGAGTCTCAGTGGCGGAAGATGAAAAGGGAAGCTGGATGGCGGTGATGGTTATACTACAATATGAATGCACTTAATGCCACAAAACTATACACTTAAAAATGGTTAAAATGGTAAATTTTATGTTATGTATATTTTACCACAACTTTTAAAAATGAACGAGCAATGTGTTTCTAGTATTGTTTGTTCACCGATTTGTCTTTGTCTCTGTTGTAGACAATGCTACCATGAACATTCTTTTCCATGTCTGATGGTACATACATGCAAGAGATACTGTAAAGTATATACCTGAAAATGGAATTGCTGGGTCAACTATACTATGCCAAATTACTTTTCAAAATGGTTGTACTGTTGGATATAAATTATATCATAAGATGATAATTTATAAAAAGATCTTCAGGAAATGTTAAATTATAGCCAAAAAGAAGTACTTGAATTTCTCAACTTACCCAACCATTTAGAAGTATACTGCCCAGAAAACAGGGCTCCATCCAGACAATGGCTGCCACATTTCATTCCTTTGCTGGGCATCCCTTTGCAGAACATTGGCTAACTGATGTCAGCAATGGTGGACCTCCAGGAGGGCGAAAGGTCTGGGAACTCTGAGGGAGGGAAGGCTGAATGAGATGGGGTACTGGTCGGGCAGCGTGCTCATGGGCTCTTTGGAGAGTGTAGTTCATAAGCACAAATACTGCTCTTTGCTTGGCTAAAGGGTTGTTCTCCTCTCTGGGAAGTCCATTGTCTTTGATTAAGTGAGAACCTCAGAAGGATCCAGACCCACAGAGTGAGCCTGGAAGAGGAAAACAGCAAGCTAGTGAACACAAGCGACCTAACTTCAACTATTAGAAAACCTTTCTTCTAGCAATAGATTCACCCTAAGAAGCTCCAGAGAGCAAGCCAAAGTGTTAGAGGTCAATGGGGAACTTTATAAACTTAGATCTGGGCAAGCACCCACGAGATAGCCTGCCTGTGAGGTCTTGGGCATATTCTACCATCTAGACCAGCCATGGGCAAACTACGGCCCGCGGGCCGGATCCAGCCCGTTTGAAATGAATAAAACTAAAAAAAAAAAAAAGACCGTACCCTTTTATGTAATGATGTTTACTTTGAATATATATTAGTTCACACAAACACTCCATCCATGCTTTTGTTCTGGCCCTCCGGTCCAGTTTAAGAACCCATTGTGGCCCTCGAGTCAAAAAGTTTGCCCACCCCTGATCTAGACTGTCAGAGTCCAGGACTGGAGGCTGGGGAAGCTAGAGGAGATGACCAAGGCCCTCCCCCAGTCTCTGCTGATGACTCAAATGCATCCAAGTGGTTGGCATCCACCCGCTAGTAACATGCTCAGTCAACATCTGAGTTGGGTTTTCTGTCTCATTAGTCTATAACCCATTCTCATCTTACCACAACCCATATTACCCCTTTTAACAAAAGTGTGGTCCCTAGAGAATTAAAACTGCTGCCAAGGCTTAGGTTTGACTATTCATGAAGTAAGCCATGCAGTCCACTAGTAAAACGCTACTTTAAGCAGATGCTTTCATCCCTCCCCCCGCCCCCCATATTCCAGACAGGTCATACTTGGCTGCCATCTTTTCAAGATTCCCTCCCACAAGTACTATAAAGCGCTGCCATATTCTGCAAACAAAAATTCTTCCATTACGTTTTTAAAAAGAATTGTTATTGAATCCATTGGGGGTGACATTGGTTAATAAAGTTATATAGGTTTCAGGTGTACAATCCTAGAACACATCATCTGTATATTGCATTGTGTGTTCACCACCCCAAGTCAAGTCTCCTCCACCACCCTCTATCCCCCCTTTACCCTCTAGTGAAAGCCCATGGGTGCTGAACTTAAAGATTTATAGAAACAGCCGTGGGCAGATCTTTTGCGATACTGTCCTACACAGTCATGAAGAAGGCACTACAAATAAATCGGCTAAGTAGATGTCACTTTAAAACCACTAAAGGCTGCTAAAATCAATACGAATGGACCCAATACCCCATTGATTCACTTTTAAAATCTACAACTGGCAATGTTTTAAATGTCAGGGCCATGGTATGTTATTTGGCAAGCTACTCCAGGGACGTCCGACGTCAGTCCACGTCCTGCCTGATGGTAGGAGAAAGGCCTCAAAAGTCCTCCCCCGCTGAGGGCGCAGCCCGTGGGCGCTCTGCCCCATCTGGGTGGTGTCACTGTGAAATGGCCTGCTTCTGCTGCTGGCCCTGCGTCATGTCTAATCTTGGCTCAGCACTTCAGTGGGTGCTGAGTCAGAACAGGTGCAGGAATTAGGTAACCACTTTGTACCCACATTTGAATATTTCAGCTCCTGAGCAAGTTGGCTCAGGTGTGCTTCCTCCTTTCATCTGCCATTAATCTTCCAGCCGGATCGGCTGACAGCCCGGCATGACCTGAACGGGTTGCTTCACCGCTGTCATTTGATGAGTTGCGGACAGGGTGTTTGAAGCTGTCCTTTCATTGTCATGAGGCAACTTCTTTCTGTTGTGGAATCACTTCTCCCCTCAGAAGACATGGTTTGGGACCCTACCCTGAGCCCCTGTCTGCAGACAGTCATCAAAGGGAGGAGTCATGTGTGTGGCCGCGGAAGCATGTCACTGCCTTTCTCCTCGCCCAGAGTGTGAGGCACCGGGAAGCAGCGCAGGCCCCTGAGACACTGAGCAGGGAAAATGCTGTGTGCTGTGCACCCTTCCTCTCTTTCTTCCTCCTCCTCCTCCTCCTCCTCCTCCTCCTCCTCCTCCTCCTCCTCCTCCTCCCCCTCCCCCTCCCCCTCCCCCTCCCCCTCCTCCTGTGTGCTGTGCACCCTTCCTCTCTTTTCTCCTCCTCCTCCTCCTCCTCCCCCTCCTCCCCCTCCTCCCCTCCTCCCTCCTCCCTCCTCCTCCTCCTCCTCCTCCTCCTCCTCCTCCTCCTCCTCCTCCTTCTTCTTCTTCTTCTTCTCTCTCTCTCTCTCTCTCTCTCTCTCTCTCTCTCTCTCTCTCTCTCTCTCTCTCGGCGTTTATTACCCCTGACAAATTATTTGTCTGTTTTCCCCCAAGTGCATTGCAAACTCCATTAGACCTGGGGCTTTGTTTTATTCACAGAAAAACGTTTTCCGAACAATGTCTGACACAGAGTAGATGCTCATTACTAGTAAATACTTAATGAATGCATGAATGACTGTGGGCCATACCAAAAACCTTTTAGGTAAGTGTGCCCATGTATCTTTGGGGCTGGAATATGTGTTTCCATCGTGGTCAAACACTGCTGCATTGGCTGGATCCCATTGAACTAGGCTAGGATGTCTGCAGCGCAGCCCAATGCCTTGCAGTGAGAGAAGATGTGCACCCCTGATCCCTTCCAGCCTACGGGAGGGACCGCTGGAGGAGATGGCCTAGAGCCCTGCTGAGGCTGGGATGACTGCTCCTTTCCTGAGAAGAGCGAGATCGGATAAAGGCCCACCTGAGTGGCGGTGGCATCTGCTGTAAGTAAACTCGGGAGAAATAACACAGCTGGATGGGGTGCGTTGGGGCCACAAGAATGATGTGGACTCAGATGCTACAGATGGTTCAAGGTTCCCAAATGAACATGCTTTTATTTTTATTTATTTATTTTAAAATATATTTTTATTTATTTCAGAGCGGGAGGGAGAGAGATAGAAACATCAATGATGAGAGAGAATCATTGACCGGCTGCCTCCTGCACGCCCCACACTGGAGACTGAGCCCGCAACCCGGGCATGTGCCCTGACCGGGAATCCAACCGAGACCTCCTGGTTCATAGGTCAACACTAAGCCACTGAGTCACACCGGCTGGGCTATTTTTATTTTTTCAAATGAGTATGTTTTCAGGAAGAGCTGGACCCACACAGATGGATTAGACATTGAGTGGCAAACATCCCACAGAGCAACACCCCCCAGGAAGGGAGCTGGGCCCTGAAAGCTGCCAAATGAAGTTGAAAGAATTTCACTCCCACCCAAGATGACCTGGTGAATTCCTCTTCGGGTTGCTGTTCAAAGTGGTCTGGGTTTCCTCCACAGGAAACCAGGCAGCTAAGACCCTTCTTTGGAACTCAGTTTAGGCAACTGACCATACATATGTCAGAAGCTGGGCTTTGTGTGTTGAACCTCAAACTGCAACAGAACTGAGTTTCCATATGTAATAGAAGGGCGTTTAGGACTAAAGGGTCCCAGGTTTGATTCCAGTCAAGGGCATGTACCTTGGCTGCAGGCACATCCCCAGTAGGGGGTATGCAGGAGGCAGCTGATTGATGTTTCTCTCTCATCGATGTTTCTAACTCTCTATTCCTCTCCCTGCCTCTCTGTAAAAAATCAATAAAATATTTTTTTTTTTAAAAAGAAGGGTGTTTATTTGCTTAAGAAACAGCATAGTATAATGAAACTGAAATAATGAAACTATATAAGAGGAACCGTATCTCGTTTTATCAGCTGCTCACTTCCTAAAAGGCTGAGCAACAAAATAACTTGTTAATAATCTAATATTTAAATAAATTAAGCGATTCTGCTGACTAAAAGATTCCTATGAGAGCCCTAGCCAATTTGGCACAGTGGATAGAGCATTGGCCTGCAGACTGAAGGGTCCTGGGTTCGATTCCGGTCAAGGGCACATGCCCAGGTTGCTGGCTCGATCCCCAGTAGGGGGCGTGCAGAAGGCAGCCAATCAATGATTCTCTCTCATCATTGATGTTTCTCTCTCCCTCTCTGTCTCCTCCTCTCTGAAATCAATAAAAAATATCTTTTTAAAAAAAGATTCCTATGAGAAACATTTTGAATAAGTAAACAGTCCTTTAGTCTAGCAGTTTCAAAACTGAAACACTTTCCTATGCTTCCAGTTTTCACATAGCAAAGTATCTCTTTAAATCAGCCAGCTCCTGGCCTGTAAGCCACCCTGCTGAATTTCTGTGTCAGTGATGCCAAGTAATCTCTTGGCTGTGAAAACATTCTCCGGCCGGCTCCCACAGACAAGGACAGATGGCATTCCAGTGAGGGTCCTCCCCTCCCTGTTTGTTGTAGAAAATATTGACATTTTTGCAGGAAGCAGATCCAGGTTCGCTTTCTTCCCAACTCATCTTGGCAATCATGAAGGTTTGGAGGTCTGTGGTTCCACAGAATTGGGAAAATGCACTTGCCACTGAATTTAAAAAGATCTATGTCAAGGAAAGTAATGTTCATATCTAATTGATGCTTGTAAACGTCACAAAATAGCAAATAATACACTGTGATCACAAAGTACTTTCAAACAGAAATGAGACAGGATAGGAAGGCAGAGAGGAGATAGCTGAAGAAAAAGGCTCTCTGAAAAATTTTAAAGTATCAGATGAAGTTTTTTTTAAAGATCCTTTCTAATCTACAACAGCAAGGTTATATTAGTTTTACTCAGAAAATCAGAGACAATTTACTAAAATTCAAAACTTGGGTATACTATTTTAAAAAAACCAAACACTTAAAGCCCTAGCCAGGTTGGATCAGTGGACAGAGCGTGGGCCTGTGGACTGAGGGTCCCAGGTTCGATTCCAGTCAAGGGCATGTGCCTTGGTTGCGGGCACATCCCCAGTGGGGGGTGTGCAGGAGGCAACTGATCGATGTTTCTCTCTCATCAATGTTTCTAACTCTCTATCCCTCTCCCTTCCTTTCTGTAAAAAATCAATAAAATGTATTAAAAAAAAAAAAAAGAGCAGAGGGGATTACTTTTTGCTGCCTTTTCTTTTCTTTTCTTTTTTAAAGGTGAATGGAGTACTTTATTTTATTTTTCTTTTGCTTCCTTTTCCAAAGCTATGCAGTGGTGCTTTTAGGACTGATGACCTAGAATATATGCGCAAAAGGCCTGTCTTCTCAAATCGACTCCAAAGAGCTGACTCCCTGATCCCAAACCCTTTTTGAACTGTGAAATGAGAAAAAAAGGAAACTTTCTTTGGGTTCAGCCACTGAAATCTGGAGGCTGTTTATTTTAGTGGTTAGCTACCCGGATTAGGTGTGTGGGGGAGATGAAACAGAGCCAGGTCCATAACAGTTTAGGGTCCAGCACTCTGGATGTGATAGACAAAGGCAGACAATGGTAGTTACTCTTTACTCCCAACGTGTATATGCTGCGAATTTTGCAGACTTCTCATTCCCTGCTGGTCAGCCTCCCTCCAGTGTCCCCTAGACCTCTCAATCTCACTTCCTAAGTCCCCTTCTGCCCTCTGCAATCACACACACACACACACACACAGCAACTGCAAAATCTGGAACCTTGGCCTGAATATTCAGTTCATACTACGGAGATGAGGTGGGAGGCAGCAAAGCGACTTATCTTGTGAGTTCCCTGGCACAGGTCTGGCCTGAGGCTCCCAAACCGGTGGCATGCATTTCAACCTGTGCACATCCTGCTTCCCTACTAAGACTGCAACTTTTGTCTTGAAAGTCTTGTATCCCAGTGACTGCCACCAACCAGGTGCTTACTAGTAATATGTGTCCTTGATGGAAATGAGGCAGGCACAGAGCAACAGGAATCAAAACTGTGCAAGGGTCACCAAAGGGCCTAACATGAGAGGTTCCCCAAATACACAGCGGGTTATTTTTGGGGTACAGATCAAGAAGGAGGAGCATCACATGGAGGGACAAAAGCAATACTCCATTTCCCCTGGAACTTTGCAGAGAAGACAGGGTTTTAGCAGATTTTACACATTCAAAAGCTGTGGGAAGAATGCATTATTGAAAAGGGCATTTTCCTCCTGCCTGAGGAGGAGGAGGAGACATGAATCAACAAGCAAAACAGCACAGGGGAGGGGACTGCAGTGGGAAGTGGAGAGACTGTGGGTCTGGGTTCTGACTCTGCCATTTACCAAGGGCATGTCCTTGGGCACAGGGTGTCCTGTGCCTGAGCCTCCGTGTCCTCATCTAGACAATATAAAAGAGTGGTGATACCTACTTCATCGAGCTGCTGCAAGGAGTCAATGAGATTACGCCTGGAAAGGGCCCAGCACAGAGCCGGGCTCAAGCTTCTATTGTAAATGCTGTGTGTGAGCAGATAGATGGTGAGCACCATCACTATACTGTCCAAGAGAACGCCAAACTTTCATAAGATCGCAGGCTAACAAGAGAAAGAGGATAAACTCTTCCTCTTTATTCAGTTAATTCATCAGACTGGTATGAGAGAGCAAAGTAGGCCATTCATAAATCTGTTTTGCAGAAGCCTTTGGCAAAATGTCTCAACAACTGCAGAGTCATTTAAATTCTAGTGACTGTGCCAATTCTATCTTAACATTATCTTTCTCTGGGATAATATGCCTTTTATATTAACTTATGTCTTAGATTTTTAATAGGCTATTTTGTTTAATCTTGGAATTTCCACCACGAATTTTAATTTCCTGTGGCTAATCTTAGCAGAAACTTTCTAAAAGAAGGGTGCCAAGACTCGGATCTGTTTTCTTTCTTGCGGAGTTTGGATAGATAGTTATAAGAAACTGCCAGGGAAGAAAGCAGGTGTGCTCACCTCCCACCAGCTGACTGGTGGCTGTGTTTTAGTAGTAACTATGTTTCATGCCAAGTGACAATCTCACATTTCAAGGGGTAAACCGGATTGCAAATTATTCATTGACTATCCCTGAAGTTGCATTTTTAGTGTTCCCTTCCACTTATCTGATGTCCACATCTTACAAAACAGTGTGTTAGTTACCTAGGCTGTGTAACAAATTACCCCAAAATGTAGTGGCTTGAAACAACATCTATTATCTTGGAGTCATTTCTGGGTCAGGAATCCACGTGTCGCTTAGCTACATCCTTAGGTTTGATCGGGGAGCTGGCTAGGGCTTACAGTCATCTCAGAACTCAGCCAGGGAAGGATCTGCTTCTAAGCTCCCTCAAGTGGCTGCTGGCAGGCCCCAGGTTCTCACTGGCTAGTGGCCAAAGACACCAATGCCTGTCACATCAGCTGCTACAAAGGGTTGCTTGCTCACAGCATCACACCCTCTCCAAGAAGGAGAGAACCAGAGATGGAGAGAGAGAACATAAGTGCTATAGATTGAATGTTTGTGTCCCCCAAAATTCATATGTTGAAATCTAACCCCCAAGATGATGGTCTTAGGAGATGAGGTAGCAAATTAGGCCTCTGGAAAGTGATTAGGTCATGCAGATAGAGCCCTCAAGAATGGGATGCGGGGCCCATGAAAGCCCCTGAAAAAACTCCCTGGACCCTTCTGCCATGTGAGGACGCACAGGAAGTCAGCAGTGTGCAACCCAGACGAGGCTCTCACTAGAACCCAACCGTGCTGGCACCCTGATCTTGGACTTCCAGCTTCCAGACTGTGAGCAATACATTTCTGCTTTTCATAAGCCACCCCGTTCTATGGTATTTTTGCTGTAGTGGCCCAAACCGACTAAGACAGTAAGCAAAACAGTAGCCACTCGAGTCTTATCAGAACCTAATCTTGGAAATGACATTCCATCACTTTTGCCATATTCTATTTGTTAGAAGCAAGTCCTGAGGTTCAGCCCACACCTGAGAAACGGGGAGTTCTAGAATCATCCCAGACCCGGCCTTCCGCACAGAAACCCCAGGGAGGCAGGCTTCTCAAGCGAATCCCACTGAAGGACCAGCTTGCTTTTTGTTTTTGTTTTTCGTTTTTTCTGGTTATGTTTTCATTTCTAATCTGTTGTAGGTCACAATTTTTGTAAAATAACTAAAAATTAATTTCTAGAAAAATAAAATAACAAAGACATAAAAAAAAACCCTATTGATCCACCTGTTGGATGTTGCAACAAGGTCAAATTGCTATAAAAATGTCTAAACAATCTCCATTCTGCTGCTTACCTCATCTGGACCAGATGCAAATGGTTGTGGACTGCCATCAGTCTTGGGCTGTCTTTAGATCAGTGCCGATTAAGGATTTAAAAAACACAGATGACTTTTCAAGGCTTTTACATGATTTGCGCTATTCTCTTGGCTATTCCTGGATGGAGGGATTCTAGGGGAGAAAGAAAAAAGAAAACTAATCTCACTCCACTCTCTGTAGTCCTAAAAATGGGACCTTTTGTTACAATTAAAGTCTAGGGTGTGTGGGATGATGAGTCTCCAATTTAATATTTTACCCGGAAGTCCTCTGTGTGCCTCCTTTTCCTTTTCGCCGTCTGGAAGCTAGAATTAAGCCACACTTAACTGAGCGGTCCGACGGATACTATGATCACCAATTCACATTTTACAAGTCGGCCCCCTCACCAACTAATGTCAGAGATGAAGTTTGAATGCCCTTCCCAGTCTGTTCCGATCCCTCCAAACACCTTAGGCCACTCGCGGAAGCGTGCTGCATCTTTCCCTACCCTCCAGGTTTGTTTCTAGGTGTTTCAAACATCTAATCTTAATGAAACCATAAACTCACCAAGCAAAAGCACTCATTTCATACCCTCCCCAGCCTCCAGCACAGCATCAGGCAGTTTAGCGGAGCCTCAGTAGAAACCTGAATTCAGCTGGCATTTACCAGGCCCAGAACCCGAATCCCCTGTCCAGGGAACAAAGGGGTGTGAGCAGGGCTTCTGTCCCAAATCCCCCACATCTAGCCAGCATCTCTCTTCCTCTCTCTTCCAGCCTCTTCACCACCCCCATCTCATCCACCAACACTTAAAGCAGAAGCGGACTCTGCTCCCCTGGCTCTTCCCGGGCAAACTTCAATCTCCTGTGCAGTTACCACACTCTCCCCCAGAGAGAGGAGAAAGCCAGGTGGAGGGAGGGGCCTTTGAAAACCAGTGGTGCTCAACTCCTACACAGCTGCCAGCCCTCAGTTGAGCATCCCTTCCTTCCTCCCCAAGGAAGGGAATGAGGTGAATAGCACCTGCATTTGCAAGCCCAGTGCAGGCAACTCTGCAGGCACAAAGGTGGGACAAACAGGTTTTTTAGCCCGCGAGAATTTCCAAAAGCTGAAGCACACCAATCCGCAACTAGAATACAAAGTGGAAGGTGCCTAGTGTTGCAACGTTGGCCTATGGAGAAAGCACCGTGGGAGACCAGATGGGGGAAGTGATTAATTTCAAATGGTGCCAACTCAGAGGATGTATCTTTGGGTTAAGCCTTGGAGAATGGGTAACACCAATAATGGGTGACACTCGGAGAGAACTTCCTACCTACCAAGTGCTGTGGTTGGTGGCTGGCGTGCATCTCATTTGGGGCTCACAAAAGGCCTGTTGGGAAGGTGCTATTATTAGTCCCATTTTACAGTGAGTAAACTGAGGCACACAAAGAGTGAGCAATTTGTTCAAGGTACAGGCTAGTAAGTGGTGAAGAGGGTATGTGAGCTCATACAGGGTAACTCTAGAGCTGGTGCTCTGAACCCTCAGTTAAGGAGCAAAGGAGACGACGAGGGAAGGCCTAGCATTGTGAGGAGTCTGTGAGGCTGAAGCAGGCGGGGAAGGGAGGTGCTCTTTAAACGCAATGGCAGCTGTGGAATCTATATGTCAAACTCTGGACTTTATATAATATTTCCTCTGACCTCACAACCTCTCTCTTTGACAGGTACCATTCTCCCCATTTTACAGATAAGAAAACTGAGGCACAGGGAAGTTAAGTAACTTACTCAAAGCCACACGCCTGGCAAGCATCCGAATCCAGGGATCAGCCTCCCGAACCCACTGCGGGAGCCCAGTGTTCTCGGGTGGGTGGAAGCCCGCTGCATGCTGCCTGTGCCTCGACTTCTCCCCCAGTCTACACATCCTGCCCCTTCCCACCGGACTTCTCCCTGACTCCTGACCCCTCACTCCCACCCCGGCATTCAGCCTCGACCGCCCAGCCTACCCGCACAAGGTTGGGAGCCACTGAGCGCCCACAACCCCTGCTCCCAGAAAGCTTTGCGCTCCCCGGGAATAAAAGGCCTTTGAGCTGGGGAGCCCCGCCCCGCCCTCCGCAGGCCCCGCCCACAGGCCCGGGCCCCCGGCGGCAGCGGGCGTGTCCCCGGCGGCTGCGCCCGCGGCCGGAGGCGGGGCCTGGCCGAGGTGCGGAGCTGCGGGGCGGCGGGGCCGGCGGGGCCGGCGCGCAGGTGGCTCCTCCTCCGTCTCGCCTGAGCTCGGCCCGGTGCGGACCGGCGAGGGATCGCCTTTGTGCGGGCTCCGGGGATCCGCGACGGCCGCTCGCGTCCGGCTCCATTGTTTCGCTTCTGTGCCTCTTCCGGGCAAGCGTTGGCTGTGCGCGGGGCCCGCACGTGTCACACGGCGGCTGGAGCCGGGGACCCGCGGGCGCTGGCTGGGGCGTCCCGGGCTGCGCCGGGAGATGAAGTACCTGAAGCCGTGGTGGTCCGACGGCGGCGGCCTCCTGCACCTCACCGTCCTGTTGAGCTTGGCGGGGCTCCACCTGGACCTGGACCTGGATCTCTACCTGCTGCTCCCGCCGCTACGGGATGAGCTGCTGCTTTGGGGCGGCCAGACCAGCCCCGCCTACGCGCTCAGCCCCTTCCCGGCCTCAGGAGGGTGGGGGCGCGCGGACCCCCTGCACCCCAAAGGACGGGAGCCGGACCCCGCGGCCGAGCCCGAGGGCCAGCTGCTCCGGGAGGTGCGCACGCTGGGGGTCCCTTTCATCCCCCGCACCCACGTGGATGCGTGGCTGGTGCACAGCGTGGTGGCCGGGGACACCGACGGGGCGCACGGGCTGCTCGGCGCCGCCGCAGCCTCGTCGGCCGGAGGAGTCGGCGCCAGCGCGGACGGCGGCGGCCAGGCTGCGCTGGGGGGCGGCGGGGACCCCCGAGCGGCTCCGAGTAGCCCCCTGGCCGCTGGGGAGGAGGAGAAGGCACCCGCGGAACCCACGGCTCAGGTGCCGGACGCCAGCGGACGCGCGAGCCAGGTAACCGGAGAGCGAGGACGCGGGCGCGGCGCGGGGTGCGCTGGCCGGGAGCCCGCGAGGGTGTGAGGGACCTGGGGAGGGGACACACCGCTGGCCTTACCCCCTCCGCCCCTGGGTGGTTGCAGGGTCGCGGACGACTCGGCACCTCTCCTTTTCGTGGCTCTGAATGAGACTATTCGTGCCGTCCGTGGCTTTCGGGCTTTTGAGAAAGAAGTGGGTGAAGTCACCCGTTTCCGCTGTAGGGGACACCTTGATAACTCTCTCGGGGGGCTGGGGCCGGGCGGGATGCTGGTAGAAAGCTTGCCTTCTGTCTTCCCTGAGTACCTGTGTACCCCAAGTTGTCTTTTGTCCTGGAACCCGTGCCGGACTCAGAGGAGCGGAAGGAGGACTTGGCCCCCGGGAGGACGCAGGTTTCTCTTTAGGAACCACGCTCCCGGCCTAACGCGATGGCCCCCGCCCGGGTTTTTAACCCCGTTGAGTGCATTTTTGCTGCTTCCCTGGCCGAAGGAGCGGTGGACAGGGTCCAGGCGGAGGCCGGCCGGCCCGCAGACCGCCGCACGTGACCCCGCTCCGCCCGCGCCAACGGTGCGCCTCCCTCTTAGAACGCGTGCACTCGCCGATTAGCATAAACAGGAACCCGACCATCACCTAGTGACTAACGCGTTCCCTTTGGTATGTATATAGGGTCAAACGCTTTGGCTTAACTTTCTTTTGAAACAGAGATCTGTTCATGGAAGTATCTGTGTGGCCCCCCACTCACTGCCCCTTCCAGCCTCGGGACAACTTGGTACCAGTTTCCACAAAGCGCCTCATCCACAGTGCCTTCAGAGGGACCTCCTCGTTCTTTCGTGGCCCAAACCTTGGTGTTCACAATTGGTATCGATCAACAAGTGCTCCTTGGACGATGTTTTTGTGGAGTGCAATCTTATGCAAAATGGGGGCCGGGGCTGGACTGGTTTGTTTGCTGCTCTTGGAACTGCCTGGTGTGTAGGCAGTTGTCAGACGAGCTTCTCCACCCTCCTGGAGGGGTCACTGTGCCGGAGTGCTGGGTGATTCACTGTTCCCCAGATCTGAGTCCTTCCTCTTCCTGGGGCTGGAGCGGATGGGAGTTGGTGGGAGTCTTGGTGGGCTGCTGTCTGTTCCCAACAGTGGAAGGTTCTTCCCACCCACTCATCCAATCTGGACCCTACTCTCCCCTCCACCTCCTAACCTGAGGTGCGTGACGTAACAGCCCACAGGGTGAAACCCAGTGCTGGATGCGGTACCAGGTGGCACCCTGCCCCCTCACGGCTGAGTGCCAACTGGCTGGCAGAGTACACAGGGACCTGGAGGGAGGCAGACAGTTCTCTCTGCAGGACTCGCTCCCCTTCTTTCCCAGCATCACCTGGTTGATGCCTGTTTCAACAGGCAAGCCTGGGGGAGTTGGGGGGGGAGGGGGGGAGTTCCAGGGGCCTGGGCCCAGCCAGACCTTGGAGTCCTTGAGCCCAGCATTCCTAGGGAAGAGGGTGAAGTTCACAGGAAGTCATTCTGGTGGGGCCTCCCCATGGCAGGTGTGGGCCTGCTGCACCTGGCAGGTGTGAGGATGACCTGGTTATATTGTTTCAGCGATGGTCAGCTGTGGAGCATCAGTGTTCACAGGCAGCTCACCTTTATCGGCCATGCCTTCTCCACATCAACCTTGTGAGGTACACGAGCCAGGCAGCATTGAGAGTCCCCAGCGCCAGACTTTCAGGTTAGCATTATAATTAATCAAGCACTGTTTGTCCTCCGCAGACCGAGGGTTGTATTCAGTTTGTACTTGAGAAAAACGGAGGCCCAGTGAGATTAGGGGACTTGGTTAAAGCCACACAGTTTTAGTACGAGAAGTGGGACTAGAACCTGAGCTTCCTGACCCTGCACTCAGGTTCTCTGGACCAGCGTGCAGCTGCGTGGGTGCTGCCCCTCACGCCTGTCCCCAGGCCCACTGCTCTTCAATGCAGATTGACTTTTTTTTATATATATATATATATTTATTGATTTTTTTACACAGAGGAAGGGAGAGGGATAGACAGAGAAACATCCATCAGCTGCCTCCTGCACACCCCCTACTGGGCATGTGCCGGCAACCAAGGTACATGCCCTTCACTGGAATCGAACCGGGACCCTTCAGTCCGCAGGCCGACGCTCTATCCACTCAGTCAACCGGTCAGGGCTCAATGCTGATTGACTTTAAAGAGCAGGTTACACCATCCATAATGCCCAGGCTATCATTTGGAGCCATGACTCTGGGAGAAATTGGGCTGGGAAAATGACAACGGTTTTGCACTACGCAAACCTGGGTCTAGGGCAGTGGTCGGCAAACCGCAGCTCGCGAGCCACATGTGGCTCTTTGACCCCTTGAGTGTGGCTCTTCCACAAAATACCACGTGCGCGCGCGCACTTACAGTGCGATTGAAACTTCGTGGCCCATGCGCAGAAGTCGGTTTTCGGAAAGGAGATAGAGACAAGTATACAAGACGAGTGTGGATGGGAGAGTTGGAAGCGGTCGACCTCAGTGAACGTACCTCAATCAAAATGAGGACGTTTTTAGCAAAGGCCAGCTTAGGAGTGCCCTAATGAAGTTAATAACAATGTACCTACCTGTATAGTTTAAGTTTAAAAAATGTGGCTCTCAAAAGAAATTTCAATCGTTGTACTGTTGATATTTGGCTCTGTTGACTAATGAGTTTGCCGACCACTGGTCTAGGGGCATCATTTACTAAGGTGCCCTCATACAGGTCACTCCAAGCCTCAGTGTCCCATCAGTGGGAGCGTAATGCTTACTGCAGGGGTGTTGTGCCAATTAAATGGGAAAAGCATGTGTGACATGCCAGCCCAGCGCCTGGAATGGAATTGGTGTTCTCTTATTCCGCCTCCATCCTCAACCCACCCTCCTTAACCTGTCCCCACTCACTTTATTCCCTTTTATTTGTCTGTCTGTCTGGCTTGGTTGTTTTGTTTGTCAAGGGGGTGGGGTGTGTTGGAACCAGACTGCCTGGCTTTGAAACCCAGCTCTCCCACGATAGCTCTGTGACGGTGGGCCAGATTCTCACCCTCTCTGTGCTGCATTCTCCTCACCTGCACAGTGGGAGTCGTAAGGGTGCCTACACAGAGGGCTGTTCTGAGAATCAGTTCATTCACACAACTGGCTTAGAACCGTGCCTGTCACATCTTAAGGGCTTAATGACTGTTAGTGACTCTGAACTTCAAAGAGGGGGAGTGCTTTGCCCCATAGACCATCATCGGTTTGTTATGTTTTTAAATAGATCGTTCTGGTGGCTTACGTTTGCGTTGTAGGAAACTCTGGTTTTATAGTACAGTTTTTCATAATTTCTGTACATGTGCAAAAAGATTCTGAAGTCGGGGATTTTCCAAGTATCAAGAGAAGCACGGCTTTGGTTTCACTTCTGAGTGGGGCTCCGCACTGTCTGAAAGCACTGCCCGGAATTCCCCAGGGCAGACATGCTTCCCTCCGTGACCACAGCCATTCACTCACAACCAGGAAGCGCATGTTCTTCGGGGAAACGCATGGGTGAAGCAGAGACACGGACAGTGTCTGCATAAGTGAATGTGAGCTTACCTGAGGACGGGTGACTGCTCACAGCCGGCTCCCATGTTCCAGGAGCTGGTGCCACTTGGAGACCGAGAGGGCCTGTGGTCCTTTTGATGTGGTTTCCTGCCCTGGAATGGGCACCCCCTGCTAGGTGAGGGGCCCGCAGGACCTCTTGGTTCACTTCGTGCAGTGGACTGTGTGTTTTCGGGTCACGGGAAGAATCTGATATGATCAATACTTGCCTCGAAGAAGAAGGGGAAGAGGAGGGTCCTTGATGGGTAAAGGAAAAATTGTTTTTCCTTTCAAAAGCAGAGAGAGTCCCCGGTGCCTAGGCAGTGGCAGGTAGATGGGATTTCAAACCCTTGCCAGTTTTTAATGCACAACTAGGATTCAGAAATTGTCCGGTGATTACACACTTCGCAGTGCTACCAAGGCGCACAGCAGGCTCTTCTCTTTGCCACCTGAAGCACCTCTGGCCTGGTATAGGAAGGGATGGCATAGGTCACAGCATGAGTGTCCTCGTGCCGCCACCTGGGTGGCTTAAGGAGTAGGAGCGTACCGTCTCGCAGTTCTGGAGACGAAGGTGTTGGCAGGGTTGGTTCATTCCGAGGGCCATGAGGGAGAGGCGGTTCCAGGCCCTGGCCTCTGGCACTTGGCTGGCAATCTCTGGCAACCCTCGCCCCAATCTCTGCTTTCATCTTCCGATGGCGTTCTCCTTGTGCGTGTCAGTATCCCAGTTTCCTTTCCATAAGGTCACCAGTGTCGTGTCGGATTAGGGTCCCGCCCTGTTCGTCTTTACTAATGACATCCACAAGGCTTCAGATTCCAAATACAGTCACACTGATAACTTCCACGTGTGGTCTCCAGGGTTCCAGTCCGTTTTGTTACACAGCCACTGGCTCCCTTTTCCTGCCCACAATTGGGTGCTCAGCTTGCTTAGCAAGAGGCTCTACCTGTTGAAAACTAAGCTGTTTCTGGAAGCAGGGTCATTGGCAGCAGGATGTGGTATATGCTCATGAGCACCTCTGGGGGTGGGGGGGAGAGGCAGGATTACTACCTTCATGTGAAGCAACCCTGAGGAACCGTATTTCCAACTTTCTCCAGTCAGTCCTTCACCTCGGTTAGGTTCCAGGCAGACCATCTCTGCAGTGTCCCCCATATCATTCTTCTCTCCATTCCCCCCATTTCTCAGCTCATCTGAGATCATCAGAGTGCAGGGCCCAGGCCCTGACTCAGAGGCAGGCTGGCCTAGTGGTCGAGTGCTCCAGACTGGAGTCAGACCAGCTGCAGGGGCCGTCGATCTCGGCCCCACCCTGACCTGCGGTAAGAGCGGAGCACACTTCTTAACCTCTCTGCACCTTGGTTCCCTGTCTGTACAATGGATGGAAAGAGGGCCTTGGGGAGCTGTGAGGATTAAAGGAGATCATGCCAGCTCAGCGGGTTGGTACGTGGTAAGCCTCCCATGATGTTAGCTCCTGCTATTGGTTCGGCTCCCGGGGCTCTGTGATGCCCCTTCCCCCATTTATTTCAGTCCGGTCTGATGCCAGGTGCAGGTTTCTAAAACATGCCTTGGTTCTCTCCACCTTCATTTGGAGAGCCTCCCCCAGGAATACCAATCTGATATTTTGTCATCAAGGCTCTTCATGTGGCCAGTGTGACCCAGCTCTGTAGCTGACCTAGCTGAGCTCATCCCCCATGATCCTCTGCCTGTAGCCTTCTTTCCAGCTGAAACTTTCTCCCTTTCTTTTCCCAGACAGCCTCCTGCTTTCCTGCCTCTTAATCTGTTACCTTTGTTTGCCCAGACTCATGTCAACAATCACCTCATCTACAAGCATTTCCTATTCTGTCCTTCGAGCCCTATTACACTCTATAATATTTCTTTTATGGGACTTGGCATTCTCTACTTTTTTTTTTTCTCTTTCATTTTAAATTGTCCTTTTGTGCCTTTAAGAGCCAGCCCTATACTCAGGACGGCCCTCCTACACCATGAGGGAGATTGGAACAGAGCACAGGGGAGCAGAGAGCATACAGGCCAGGACAAGTGGCACTCTCTCTATTGCACGGCAGTGTCTTGAGTGTGGAAACTGGGTCTTCACTTTAACCCCCAGGTGGCACCCAGGACGGGGTGAGGAATGCAGGCGGGTGCAGCCAGCGTCTGCTGAGCAATTCTCATCCATCCCTCCATGTTGGCTTGATACCATGAACTTGAATATGTCGTGGGTCCCTTCATGGACGGAGTCCAACTAGAAAGTAGGTCAGATCCAAATCCTGATGGGCCATCTGACCACTTAATGCCAATTTGAGTGGATGGGGGCAGCAGACTTTCAGGTTGGCATTATAATGAATCAAGTGGTGAAACAGGATTGCCCAAAGTTACACAGCAAGTTAGCGCCCTTGCCCAGAATAGAACAGGTTACTGTTCTTAAGCACTGAGTTAACCCTACTTCCCACCCACTACAGAACGACGCGCTATAAAAACAAGCTTCTCTCATACATTTGTGCCTTTCAGTCGGAATAGTTTATTCTCAAAATCTAGCTAAGGATCCGTGTTACTATTCAAATACACTGGTGGGCAGCTGATGCTGGGGAGGCTCAGGTACACACCGGGGTTGTTTTGGGTTCAGTTGCAGGTGGTGGAGGGCACAGTATAAGCAGTGGCATAGAGCCTTGACCTATGGTCACAGGGGTATGACCTTTTGAGATTGTGTATGACTATCAATAAGGGCTCTCCAAGGAACAGAAGCAGTTAAATACGAATAATATATATTATACCAATATAACTTGAAGCTATGATACACACACACACACACATACACACACACACACATATACATACGATTAATTTCAAGGCAGTGGCTGCCACGGTTGTAGAGGCTGGCAAGTCCGAACTCTAAGGTAGTTGGAATTCAGCAGGCTTGAGGCAGGATTTCCTCTTCCTCAGGGAAACCTCCCTCAGTTTTGCTCCGAAGGCCTGTCAACTGCTTGGGTGAGGCTCACTCAGATTATCGAAGATGATCTCTTTAAAGCAGTGGTTCTCAACCTTCCTAATGCCGCGACCCTTTAATACAGTTCCTCATGTTGTGGTGACCCCCAATTTCATTGTTACAAACTGAACATAATTAAAGCATAGTGATTAATCACAAAAACAACATGTAATTATATGTGTGTTTTCCAATGGTCTTAGGCGACCCCTGTGAAAGGGTCGTTCGACCCCCAAAGGGGTCTTGACCCACAGGTTGAGAACCGCTGCTTCAAAGTCACCTGATTGATTGTAGCTATCAGCCACATCTACCAGATACCTTCAACACCTCATTGGTGTTTGATTAAGCAGCTGTGTACGACAATACAGCCTAGCCAGCCACATGCCACGTTAACGTGCACAGCTGATGGTCACACCTCCCCGCCCCATTCTACCCGGGCAGCCTTTCTGGAAGAGCTCTGGTGGGAATTAAATAGCACGGTGCGTTCGTGTAGTTTGTGGCACGTTATAGTTCAACAGACGCTTTGCTCTTATTGCCCCAAAGCTGGGGGTTGAATCTCCAGGAAACTCCTGTCCTGCTGGGTCATTCTGGAACTTGCTTTGGTTCCAGACAGGAACCCTTCTGCCCCCAGGGTGGGAAATCATTCGGGAAACGATTGACCAGAATGGGGATGTTCCAAGTGGAGATGGTCAGACTGAAGAGGGAACAAGATCGCCAGCTCAAATATTTGAAGAGCTGTGATGGGAAGGAGGCCCCAGGCTCTGGAGGAGGCAGAGCCCTTCTATAAATATTTCAGTATACATTCCTGAAATATAAGGACTCTCGTAAGTATAACCACAATGCCATTAGTACACCTAAGGAAAATCAATAATTCTTGGTATCATTAAATATGCAATCCGTATTGATTCCCCAGTTATGTCATGGGCAGTTTTCCACAGGTGGTTTGTTGGACTCACGATCCAAACGGGATTCATACCTTGTGTTGTGGCCAGCTGTCCTGCATGATAACGTGATCAGACAGCAGCTTCATTTATTCGCGTGGAGCCAGCTCTTCCCACCACTGCCGGTCTCCTGTGTGTGACACGGTGTGAAGCAGGTGGGAGCCGTGTGAGTAGTGGTGGTTCCGGCGGGAAGCAGCATTCGCCCTAGATGGCTCCCTGAAGGGACTTCATGAATGACTTCTTGCAGGAGCAGGCAGGGGTGGGGGTACCCAGAGACTACCAGCAGGCAGGGGTGGAAAGAGAGTTAGGGGAGCTCAGTGAGGTGAGGAGGAGATTGGAAAAGAAATGCCTTGGCCTCCCCTTTGCTTGCCCTCCAGCCTCCTCCCTCAAACCCCACCTGAAGCCAGCCAGCACAGGAGCCCCCAGTTTTCAGGGGACAGCTTCTGGGAGACACCCATGGTTCTAGAGGCGCAAGCAAATAGCAAGATAGCGCCTGAGAAATGGCTCTGAAGCAGAAATGCCTGCAACCAAATCCTGATTCTATTGCGTGCCAGCTGTGTGACTTCAAGGCAAGTTGCTGGAGCTCTCTGTGCCTCAGTTTCCTCCTGTAAGAATGCTGAGCAACTTAATTGAGATCATGTATGTGGTGCCTGGCCCTGAGTGAGCACTCCATAAATCTGAGCTATAATTATTATTATAAACTGCCATTAAAAACCACCCAAGCCAAACAGGACACCTCTCTCTTTCTCTGGCTCCTCGAGTCTCTGAGACCCGATGACTCCAGCTTGCCTCCAGCCTAGAGACCAGTCTCGGAATTCTCTGGCCTTCACCCCTGTCCCTCGATGTCATCTTTCTCAGAGGCACCACACCGCTCTTGGTCGTTGAAGGTTCCTCCGACCTAAATGCCAAAGCAGGTCTCAGTCCTCCCTCCCCCAGATGAGGAAATGAAAGGGCCAGCGAAGCCAGCGGGGACTGTGCACAAAGAGTGTTTTCAGTGTCAGCCTCGCCATCACGGTATTCAGGGCCCAGTACAGACTTAGAAAGCAGGTTGCCGGTGAGCAGAGCTTCGGAGAGGTAGCAGGAAGAGAAAAGCCTGGCTCCGTTCTTCCCCTCCCCACTGCCTTCATCAACTCGGCAAGCCTTCCCACGGGCTTACATCAGTGGCAAAGGGGATCTAGCAGCTGGGGGCACGCGTCATACCTTCACAGCCCAGCAGGAAAGAAATGATCCCGATAGTTGTAGTTTTAGATAGAATGGGATAAGTGTCATGAGAGGAAACGCGGGGCCATGGGATTTTAGACACAGGAGAACCCGGTTCTGGCCGAGGGGCCCACGCTGAGGCTGTGGATCCGTGTGGAGGGTGAGATGGGGGTCTTCCCGTGGGGGCCGGCCTTTCCAGCAGGGGCCAGTTCAGAACAAGTCACTGGATTTCTCGTTGTGATTCGACCCCAGCTCAGGTTTACGATGGCTTCCTATGGCAAGCGTGGAAACTTTCTTTTTTCTTTTTTATTTTTATTGAGTCCCAGCCTCACAAGAGTATCACCTACGTACAAATAAAAAGTAGGTTAATGATGGGTTTCATGTACCCAGTCTTTAAATTAAGAGCATGGACCATAACTCTGCAGTGTACTCGTAAAACACATACGCTCTATCTCAGCCCCATGTCACTGAGTTGAGAAAAACAGGAAAAGAGAACAGTAATTACTGGCCACCAGTGGCTGGCATCGCTTTCTCTTGACATTCTGATTGAGTTGCCAGCAGTTAGGCGTTAATGGCAACTCTTCAGAATCAAAAAGCAGTTGAAAGGAGCAGTAATGTCTGTACAGCATCTTAAAATGTAAAACGTGCTTTTTCTCAACTAATTTCTTAGAATGTGAATTAGAAAATGTCTTTTCACAGACAAGGAAACTGAGGGTCAAAGTGGCCCGCAGCCACGCAGCTGGTAAGAGTAGGATGAGCCTTTCTAACAGCAGTTTGGGGGCCTTCGCCCTCCTAGCCACAAGGCTTTGGTGGGGTTTGCAGACTCTGCCAATTATGTTACAGGCGTGATAGTCCTTTTTCACTTTCTAAACGGATATAATGTGGATCCTCCACCCCTCCTGCCTTCAGGTCCTGGCCTCTCCCCTCTCCCCGCTGTTGTAAATTGGAAAGGGGATGCTGAGACTGAGTTGAGGGGCAGAATGTTTATAAGGAAGTACCTAGGCAGCTACCGCTGTGGAGGGGAGGAACGAAAGCGGGATTGACCCGAAGCAGAAGCCAAGCTGTGATGCAGGTAATGAAACCAGCAGCTTGAGGGCTAAAGTGGCCCACATCACGATTGTCCCACACTGAGCCAGGTGGCCAGGCCTCTATACCCTCCCTGTCCAGTTGAGGGAGGGATCTGAGTGCCCGGGAAGGGTGTGACCTTAGGTGAAGTCGCTCTCAGCAGTTGAGGCCTCTGTGAAGGCACAGCTGGAAGTGGTCCCCCCACAGGTCCCCAGCAGCTGCCACTGCCCCTCCTTGTGCATCACACTCACCTGGGGGAAGTCCTCCTCTTGCTCACTGCTTGTAGCACATGTTTCTCCTAGCTTTGTGATAGGCTTGCAGTAACTGATAGTTGAGTGACTAAGTGAAGGACTGGCTAACAAGATATTTATTGACTACGTAACCCTGTGCAAGTGAACGTTTCTCTCTTCCCCAGGTCAGTGGAGTTTAGTCTGCCATTGAGGTTCTTGGTTGATATGCAGCCTCCGCTTTCCCCTGTGGCCTCAGAGACAGAGTGACCATTTGGGACAGTCTTGGCGTATGCCTGTTGTCCGGCTTAATTGTTTCTAGCACCTTCTTACCCTCAGAAGTGGATGGGTTTGGGTGATCAGTTATGTAGCTATTTATTTGTACCACTGGAGCCTGGGAACTGGAATGGACCCTCTCAGAACTTCAACACTAGAGCAACCCACCCCGCCCCAGGGCTCACCTTCTGTCTCTTCTGCTTCTATCTAAGGGCCAAAGAGATAAAGGAAATGACAGGCAACAAAGCTCAAATTCCCGCTCTGGGACTTGGCTCCTGGGCTCCTGTAGCTCCACCTGCCTCCATCTTTAAGAGGACTCGGGCCTGGCTGGGTGGCTCAGGTGGTTGGAGCGTTGTCCCCTACTCCAAAAGGCGGGCAGTTAGATTCCCAGTCAGGGCACATAAGCAGGTTGGGGGGTTCAACCTCTGTTGGGACCCATGTGGGAGGCAGCCAATCGATGATTCTCTCTCACCATTGATGTTTCTCTCTCTTCTCTTCCTCTCCCTTCTTCTTTGAAATCAATAAAAATATATTTTAAAAAGGTCACTTCCACCTTATTCTGTTAGAAGCAATTCACTAAGTCTAGCCCCAACTCAGTGGGAGGGGGACTAAGCTTTAGCTCCTTGAGAAAAGAGTGTCAAATTATTTGTGGACGTATTGTAAAACCACCTTACTGGTCAACGTCCATTTCTGCTTTTTAAAAACACCATTCAGAAATAAGAATATGTAGATCTTCTACCCAAATCCTCAAATATCTTGCATCCGCTTGAAATATCTTGAAATAAAGGCTCGATGTGTTTTTTCTTTCAAAATCACTCCTGCCCCTGGTGCTTTGGAGTTCATCCTGCCTTCCAGTGGGCCTTGCTCTGCAGTTGCCCTTTCTCCGAAGTCATCCCCTTACGAACGTACTCTAGTGTCTCTCATCTTCAAAACAAAACTCTACCCTGGCCCATTTCTCCACTTCATAGCCAAAATCCTTGAATCAACTGTACTGTTTCACTTGTCACCTCCCATTTACTCCTCCACACAGTATCATTTGGCTTCCTCCCTACACTGATTTTTCAAAGGCCACCAACAGCCTTCCTATTGCCAAATCCAATGGATACTTTTGTCCGTCCTTCTGCAACCCCCAAGCAGCATTTGTTGCACTCAACCACTCCATTCTTTTGAAACACTTGGACCCATGGACATGGCTGTCCCCGGGCTCTCCCCCACCCCACCTCACTTTCTGTCGCGTCTCCGAATGGAGGCAGCAGTACTATTCAGCCCTTGCTGCCTTGTGCTCTCCTGGAGTCCCATTGGTCCCTGTGTGCGTGGGTTGATGTATTCCCCATTTATACCTCCAGTTCAAACCTTTGCTATAAACTCAACTTACTTGATGGAATATGGATTTCTACTTAGAACATTTTTTGGGTATTTTTATAGGAGAATGAGGTATTAAGAGCTACGGGTCACAGTCCCCAGCAGGAGGAAAATGAGCACAGTGTGTCAGCCCAGAAGGACAAGTCACTGCAGCAGCAGGGTGACGATGAAACTAAAGCAGCAGATACACCCGAGTGGGGGGCAGAAAAGACCACTGACACTAGGAATGAGGTAAGCATGTCAGAATACCCCCGCCTGACCAATCTGGCCGAAAGGCAGATTTTCTAAGGCTTTGTCAGTATGTGTTGAAATGAATTTTGTATATACGTATGACCTACTCTAAGCAAATCTGATATATGGAAAACACTCAGCTTTTGTTTTTTATTGTCGGAGTGGTTATTTGGTTTACAAAGGAATCAACCCATAGTATTAGTTAACTCTGTTTAAACTCAAGATAGTGTGTGTGTGCTCAGGTGTACCCCCAACCCCTCCAGGAACCTGCTAGCAGGTTTTATTAGTTGCATTTGCCATGGCAAGGGATAAAGAGATGGCTGATGTCCTGCATCCAGAAATCCTCACCCAGCCCCCTGAGGGCAAAGCACCCTCCCTACCAGCTGGGGCTTGGGCTCAAATCCTCACCCAGTGTCCTGCTGGGCCATGCTCCACGGGCATCCATCCAGGAGCCCATGTTGTACTGCTCCACCTAGAGTTAAGGCCAGGCCCAGTGGGGACAGCCTCCTTCGCTCATGTCTAACCACACTCTTGGCCGTGAGAAGAGGAATAGGAGGGTGAACACCAGGAGCCAGGCTGATGGAGTGGATTCTTCTGCAACCTGTGCTGCCCCTTCTTCCACGTAGGCCATACTCTGGTTTCTTCTCAGCCCTGCTGGGGTCCTAGCCCACAAGCCTGGCAAACAAGTGCTCCAAAGACGGGCATGGAGACTCCAGACTTTAAACCACTTGGCACTCACCTAAAAGGTGTCCCAATGGCTTCTCAGCTATGACTGCCCCAGGTGGAGTTTGGGGCTGTGCTTTGACCCGCCTTGGAGGATGGGAGGTACCAGGCCTTGGCCCTTTTCAGAGTCCATCACTATCTCCTTGACCATGTGACATTACATCAAACATTACATGATTGATGGAGTGAAATCAGAAAACAGCTTTGCTCTTTGCCCACCCACTGTGCCCCCCCCACCCCCCCGCCTGTCCTATCCTATTCTAGGAGAGTGAATTCTTCCCTATACCTGGAGTGAAATTGGGGCAGTCCCCATGACTTACAGATAATAAAAATCTCTCTGATCATCCCACTGCAGCAATTTGGTCAATAATATAATCCAGTGTAATTCTAAACACTCTGAACAGAAATTCGGCTTCTCCACTCCTGACTCATCGGCTGCAGCCTGAGCCTGTCCGAGGAGGAAAGTGTGTGTGTGGGTGTGTACACCTGCGTGTGGCCTATTTGTCCTTTCCCCAGCCCTTCCTCCCTGGCTCACTAAGCTGCCTTCTCTGGGGTGCGGTGGGATAATAAGGGCTCAGGAAAGGGGGGTTGACTGGCACTATTTGATACTGGTTTCTCTTGACCATAGGGTATGTTTAAACTGTTTTTGTTGGGTGGGCACTTTCATTCCATAGGTTCTTTGGAGACCCCCACAAATGGGAGTCCTTCTCTTGCCCATCTCTTGACAAGGACAAACGCATCTTCACCTCCAGGTGACCCTCTCCAGCAGCTGGTCTTGGAAACATGCCCCTCAGCCCCTTTGTCAGTCCACAATCCCTCCCCTAAGCTCAGCCCTTGCTCAGCCTCTTGCCCTTTGTGTTTCTCAGGCAAGCTCTGGACACTCATCTACTGTGTTTCCCAAACTGCAGGGAATACACTCGCCACATTTCTAAGTGGTCTCCTAGGGTCCCTTTTTGTCCCTCTTAAGGAGAGAGGGGTGAGGAGCTCACTCCAAGGAACCCTCCCAGTTAAGTGAAGACCCCATTCAGGCTTGCATTTCACTTTGAAGTGCAGAGGTAATTGCTCCTGCGTGTGCTTTCACCCACGTCTTCTCCCAGGCCTGTATTTCCTCATAATTTATGTACCCTTGGTGTGGCACTCCCCTACCCTGCCACCCCACCCACCCACCCCCCCGCACACACACAGCAGTATTGTCACATCAATGCCAATGAACTTTTATATTAACACAATGCTGAAAGGCGTTTTTTCAAAAGGACACATTTCAGCCCACTTTCCACTTTACTCCTGAGTGTCCCAAAGTCTATTTTTTTGAGGGAGAAGATGTTTTTATCACAGTCTTATCAGTTCATTGTTTTACAGATTTGTGCTGTTGCTTCATTTTTCTCCTGGGTGTGCCTTTGTCTTTGCTCCCTCACTGAGCTTCCCAGAAGAGCGAGAACTGTTTTTTACTTCTGTGAATTACCTGAAGTGACTCACTGCTAGATACAGAGTGGCATTCTTCACATGCTAATGAAGGGATCCAAGTAGGGAGCTTCCTTAGAGAATACAATTTAAATTAGGGAAAATATCAATTCGGACAGAACTTTCCAGAAATACATTAATCACTCAAAGAAAGGCATGTGTGCCTCAGTCCTTAAGTTCAAGTTTGGCTCCTCACTGTGCACCTCCATGTGCCTGGTGGGTATGTCTTGTTTAGTTAGCATCAGTTTACAAAATTCTTTTACTGAGATGTTACTTAGTAGGTACTCTGACAGTTTGTTGAAATAGTATTTATTTCCCTTCAGGTGACAATCCTGGGTGATAACTAGGACAAATGGCATGGCTTGCTACTTAACCGGGACCTCTTTCTAGCCCCACTGTAGGCCAACTTAGACTGCTGGCTATTAATGAAGAATAAATACAATAAATGTAGGTTAACTGGTCTGAAGAGATTTTCTTACTAAAGACAATTTGAAGTTTACAGTAATGTTTCATCTTTTAAAAGATATGTCATAGTGTCCACCATATTCTTTAAATATCCTAGTGATCTCTGTTCAAAATGCAATGTATTTTTTGACCCAAAACAGAAGTGTATGTTTGTATTTTATGTTAAGATTTCTAAGAGTCGGTCTTAAGAAAGAAGACTGACCACTCCCTGGCAATCTAAATCAAATTTAATGTAATATGTCTTTTGGATTAATTGTAAGAATAGCTGAGTGTCCATTTTTGTGCAAGATCTGTACTCACCTGAATAGAAAAAACTCAGCAATTAGATTTAGAAATGGATTAACCAAGTTCTATGAAAACAAATGTTTCTAACAGAATGATGTCCACAGTTGAGGCTCTCAGAAACAAGGCACATGCCCATGAGATTCTGAAGTGAATGAGGGGATTGTGTTTTTTTAAAAACAGGTGAGGGCAGGTTTAAGGGAAACACTGAGGTAATAGGGAGTCCCGCTCCCAGGGAGTTGCAACAACATGAAGCCATAACTACCATTACTACCATCAGGACAAAAGGGGACCTGGGAGGCATAGAGCTCAGTGAGAGCTGGAATTGATCAGCAGAAGCTATTGTCTCTAAGGTACTCTGTTGCTCCTCCCATCTCTTGCCTCTGTCTCCTGTTGGATCCAATCAGAGGGCTGGATCAGCAGGGGTTAACACGTTGGCCCACCGTGTCCAGGAAAGAAGAGGGAACAGGAAAAATATTTAATGAAACACATTTTTGACTAGCCTGAAGGGGTCAGTCAGTCCATAATTTATTTTCAGCAGAATGATCCCCATACCCTTACTTCTATATTCTAAATATTAAGGCTTTACTGCAAATAATGTTACTTACCCACCACTAAGGATTGTTTTTGCAGGAATCCAGATGTATGCTGATGTTATCTATTCTCAGACACTTGTGACCATCAGCAAATTTTGGTAAACATTTGGCCAGGACTAAGCAAGTTTGGGGTCCTCAACAGAAGTAATAGACTACTTCTAAAATTTCTCCAGAAATTAGGAATCATTTCAAATAACAATTCAATTGGTGAAGAAGCCCGCTACCCTAAGAATGTATAATTGCCAGTTAAAGAGCAAGAAATCTTACCCACCAATTTAGCTTAAACATTCCTACAGCGTCCATAGAAAGCCTTGCATTGATTCCTTGTATTACAATGAAACAGCTTGAAAACATGGCTTCATAGAACCAAGATGTTTGGTAGGAAAGGAAACGAAGTATTTGTACACACATACACCACAGACCAACTGGTGTGAATCTTCAAAACTGAAAACCCTAAAGTAAAAAGTTAGGGGTAGAAGTGATGCACAGCACAAGTCAGGAATGTGAACTTACTAACCTGTAATGATAATGGCCATGGCACACCAAAAGCGGTAATCCTGGATAAAATTTAACAGGCAACAGTTTCAGTGCACAGTGGAACTCAAAAGCAAGAAAGCAAAAGTCCACAGATACAAGAAACAAAGAAGGGACTCAAACCTACAATTTAAAATAATTGGGCACCAAACTGAGGAACCTCAAGGAGGAATTGGATCCAGATGTCATGAGAGTGGGGTTAAATGAATGGAAAATACCTCAAGCCTGTGCCTGGGGCACCTGGGTTCCCTGCTTATGAGCTCTTTGGTTCAGGAAATAGGGACTAGGCCAGTGGTCGGCAAACTGCGGCCCCTTGATTGTGGCTCTTCCACAAAATACCACGTGCGGGCGCACACGTACAGTGCGATTGAAACTTCGTGGCCACACTCAAGGGGCCAAAGAACCGCATGTGGCTCACGAGCCGCAGTTTGCCGACCACTGGACTAGGAGACAGAGCAAGGAAACTGTCTACCCCTTAGAAAACAGAACCCCAAATGGGCTCCAAAGCCAGCTATAGAGTCTGATCCACACTGTTACCATCAGGAACCCTGAGCAAAGCAAGCAAAGTTGAGAAAATGATGCAGACTGGTCTTTGCAGAGAAAAACAACTGCTTGATAAGTTGGTAGCCCTTGAAATGTGCGATTCCTACAGAAATAGCTCTCAACAAAGCTGAGCTCTCTGGTAGTCCCAGGAGAGATTAGAAAGCATGAAAGAGAAGCAGTTTTGAAGATTCCAGCAAAATATTTCCAAAATTAAAATGATCCTGACTCAGATT